TTAGGGTTAGGGTTGATTTGATTTGAACATATTTTATTATGTAAAATACATAATTGGATTGGGCAGCAGGCATAGCCTATATGAGCCCTCTCCAAAGGTACAAGGTTAATTAATACACATATAGTAACAGGTTTATATATGACCAATAAGTTGTATACAGACACAAATTTAAATAGAACATAGGGGAAAGAAAGATACATGAGTTAAGATAGAAAAGGAAAAAAAACAACATATGAATACCGGTTTATAAATGTGGAAATGAATTGAATCGAAAAAATGAGAACTACAGCAATTTATAAACATACAATGAATGTGTATTTAACTTAAAACATAAACTGGAATAAGTATTACATAGTTACACTTCATTTATGAAACCTTTTGGTTTGTGATATATAATTGTGAACACAATCAAATAATTTCATATTTTTTGCATATGAAATACTACTATCACCAAATAATAAAAGATTAAGGGAAATAGGAATAGGATTTTGCAGGTCTATACTAGATATACAGTGAAAAAGAGTGTTTCTTTGCTCAACATAACATGGGCATTCAAAGAAAAAATGATATGCATTAGGGTTAGGGTTAGGGTTAGGGTTAGTTAGGGTTAGGGTTAGGGTTAGTTAGGGGGCTAGGGGTTAGGGTTAGCACTCCACTCAGTTGACCCATTTTTGAACCTCATTTGCATAAAAAGTGCACTCAGTTGAACCCCCCGGCTAGGCCGTTTATACTACTTCTATTCATGCAGGGATTGTCCATAATATATTATTTAAAACATTTCAGGCACATTAATTGCATTGTTAACGGGGGGGGGGGCAAGAAACCGATGAAAAATAAATTTAATATCCTTTTCGTATGAGTGATGGATTAGGCGAGGGGAGGGGGTCATGATATATCAGTTAGAAAGAATTTGCATTAAATTATGTGCGGGAATTTGAACAAAAAGGCCTGTGAGGGGGCGGTTACTCAAGTTGTAAATTTCCATACTGAATTTACATAAAAAGTTCCCTTTGGAAAACAGGAGGGTTGTCCCTCATGATACTACAGGTATCCGCTGGTTAAAGTAATCAAAATTTCAGCTCAGGGAAAGAGTCGGTGATTTGCACATTTTAGAAATTAGAGTAACCTGAAAAAGCAAGATGTGTTTAATGAAACACTGATACTCCTCTATCAGTTTCTCTAATGAAAGTCAAACGTCAAGGTCAAAAGGTCGAAATTTCTTGGTATCGTAAAGGAAGGTCTTGTCACATGGAATAAACCTATGGAATTTGAAAGCCCTGGTATTAACTGTTCAAAAGTTATGACTAATATTAAACTTTGGTATTTCTTTTTGTGAAAGTGTGTCATACTCTAAGGTGAAGGTCAAGAAGTCAAATTTAGTGGTACCCAAAGAAAGATCTCGTCACCAGAAATACACTGTCTGTACGTCTTGTACGTGAAATATGAAATCCATTATTATATATTTGCATATCCACTGCTCTCTCCCACTATGAACATGTTGTCATCAACTGCGTTCATAGACGCAACTGCTTCTTCGATGAGTGCAATTGCTCTATCACACTCGTGTAGAACAATCTCTACTAGAATTACATACCGTGTTGAGAAGTATATATATGAAATGTTTTACAAGAGGAATAAAAATAAGTTTTTAATAATATTCTTAAAAAAAAGGAAATTCAGAATATTTAGAATTGCTGATTTATATCTTTAAAAATTCAATTTTGGTGAATGCATTTAATTGCAAAATAAAACTTTTTAAAAATTGTAGAGAACTACCATATTTTTATTTTTTGTATCATGCATATTTGAACAAAGAACGATAACTCTTCACACTTGGGTAATAACATTCAGAAAGAGAAAATTTCTTTAATTAGTGTGTCTATTTCAAGAATGATTTCAGCTCTTAAAAATAAATAAATAGATGAACAAAAAAAAATTATAGAAAAGCATTCTGGAGTAATAATCATTATAAAAGCATTCTCATTTTTCATCATAGTGTTAAATTATTGATTTTTGTCAGAGGGTTTTAATAACGTTGATCGATGACGTCACAACTGCATCAAAACAAAAATGTGATAACGGCGCTGCTTGTATCCAGATAACTGTGTTTGAGAGGGAAATACTTTATAAATATGTTTGTGATTTATTAGAGGAAAGGAGCATTAATCAGGTTTACTGATTTTAAAGCCGTATGTTTTTCTTCACTGAAGATAAGAAGCTGCGTCCTTATGTAAGTCAGGATTTCCTCTGATATTCTTGAAAAAAAAAATCAAAGAATGCAAATATAAGTAATAAACAACGATTATTCAGTGAACATGGCATTATGAATAGCAATAGCTCTGCTGGCATATTTTCCATGATGCGCTAGCGCGCATCATGGAATATGCCAGCAGAGCAATTGCTATATTCATAACGCCATGTTCACTGAATAACGTTGTTTATTTCTTAAATAGCCCCATTTAGTCAAAAGTTATGGGCAAGGTTAAAGTTTTTTGCGGACAAATAGTTATACAGACAAACAGATAGACAGACGGACAGACTGGACGATATACTATATCATGCTATATACCACTGAATCTGCGATTGCGGGGCAGAAAAATATGAGCCTTTTAAACACAGGGGAAAATATTTCCCCTATAAGTTTTGTTTCCACTGCGCGACGCAAATGGGATCGCATTCAGAGCGATACATTAATTAACCCTTCTCTCTAAAATTAAATTTAAATTCAAATAGCAATTACCGGCTGTTTTTAAGTTTTGTTAGTGTTATTCATGATTTTAAATCATGATCAGTTTTGAAAATATGGTGTCGAAATGTCCTACTACAGTATGAAATTCAACGGGAACCCAAGCGTCTGCGTGACGTAGAGTAGCAAGTGTTTACATGTTGGCAAGTCGGATCGGAATCATCGCAAAAAAGGTAAATATTTTGTTATAGAAACATCCCTAATGAATTTTATTGATATTATACACTTCCTTGTTATATTATTTTGTGTGTTTCACGCTGAAAATCCAAATAAACCATTTTATTCAAATTATTCAGATTTTCAACCAACCAGAACCAGAATTTCCCCAGATATAGTTTAAATGGAGAATAAAAAGAGTCATGATGATGATACTATGGACTTCAACAAGCTTGAAAAAGAGCTGGCGATGGCAGTGGAACAAGATCAACGGTACTGGAGAGAAAATGATGCAAAATTCAGAGCAGTCCATCAAAAAGTTGAATCTTATGAAGAATTTAGGTAAGAAAGTCGGCCGATGATATATACACGACCGTCGTGCGCATAGTAAAGAAAGTCTATTTACACGACCGTCGTGCGAATAGCTAATGCAAATTGCTGAGATATATACACGACCGTCGTGCACATAGGTTAGAAAAAAATCTATTTACACGACCGTCGTGCAAATTGCAATCGCATATGCCAGAGATTTGCACACGACGATAATACACGAATCCGGGATGTCTCGCACCGATTCTGTTTCGCACCGAGATGGTTCGCACCAGGACGATTCGCGCCGATTTCAGCGCGCAACATCTCACGTTATATTTTAAATATATCACATTTTGTTTTTTTTAATTTATTTATTAACTTTAAGATAAAATGTTATATGTTATATCATATGCCTGCTCAAATTCATGACTTAATAATATTGTCTTTTATTAATTGTCGTGTACTCATTATTTGAATTTCTAATTCAATAATTAGTAAACGACAATATGCACTTCCAAAAATAACGGATTGTAAGGTGTTCGTTTGCTCAACCTGTGTGTTCAACATCTCAATGATACTCCACACTCCACAGTCATTTCTTTTCACATCCCTTTCTTTTTACGGTACAGCTTTGAAATTCATGGATATGTTATAATTGATTATTTTACATACATGTATAAAATATATGGACGCACCAGCACAAGGATGGTATTCAATGTTCAAGTGTGCCAAAGAATGCAACCGAATCGTACTACCTGTTTCATAAATATATAAATAAAGCAGTTTATGAGCCATAAAAAAGAAACAAATTTTTATTTAAAAAAAATAATGAAGATTAATAGAAACCCAAAAAATAAAGGAAAGAGGGGTGATCAATTGGCCATCCATTGTAAAAGAGAAGTGCGGATCACCAAGTGTATAGACAATAACTTTCACACTTGCTCGCGATGATAGGAGGGAGGAAGGGGAGGTGGGGATAACAGTTACGTTACTACCAGGGTTATATCCTCGGACCTCCTACATACTCTTTCGGTCCTTGACCCACAGAGTGCATGTACTCGCACATATATGCTGACGGTATTCTGGATCTGCAGCGATGATCAAATTGATGAATGAAAAAAAAATGTGAACAGTGAATCAAAGAGCCATAGCTATCTTAGAGACGACTCAAGAATTAAAAGGGAAATGTATGGAATCCGGATAGGCCATGCATTTCACTATCGCATCATCGCACCTTTTGGCATTATAGGATTTGATCATGTGACTAACTTCCTTTCATACCCAGGTATAACAATGAAACTCTTGAAATGACATCTTATATATTTCTTAAAAGTAGTAAAGAAATCATAGAAAAAAAAATACACAACTTAAAAAATCTTCAAATAAAATTTGGAATCACAATTTCAGCAATCACACCATGAAGTCATCGATATTGGATGGATAAATTTAATCAAGAAAGAATCTTATACCAAATCTTAAAATAGGAGAAGAAAAATTGGGAAAATTTTTTTTTCACCATTTTTAAGATGAAGCCACCTTCAACATGTTCAACCAAAATAAAGTGCCGTCATACACAAAATTATTCAAATGTGTTTCTTTCTGATTAAAGGTCGTCTTTATCACAGGTGCTTGGGGACGGGACGGGGGATAAAAATTCATACCCTCTGACACTAAAACACTTCTGCTTCGGTATCAGAGGGTATGGATTTTTATATATAAAAGGCAAGTTTTAGCTTAAATTTTTTTTTTTTTAAGAAGTAATACTTTGTAAATATGTCATAGAAAAATAGTACGGAACACGGTTGGGGAGGGGGGGTTGGGAAGCACATGTGGTCTTTATCAACAGTTTATCATCATTGAGATACATACGTCAATATTTACTACATAATCCATAAAAACTTGATGATTTTTATAAATAGCATTTTAAGGGAACTATTAACATTTAAATATCAATATAATTGTTTAATTTGAGATTTCACGAGTATAACAGTATAAAACTAAGGTTTTATGACAAGTTTTTGGTTTACCGTTATAAAAGTGTGTATTAAGAATTCAGTACTAGAGTAGGTGAAAATGCTTATCAAATGCGCCCTGGCTCGTGTTAATTGTTGGGATAAGGGTTGAGGTGGAAAGGGTAAACCCAGGCCTACCAAAATAGTAAGTCAATATTTTATTAAAATGACTTGTTTATATATATACAAATACATGGGTAGTTCTAAAAGAAACAGATTTACATTACAACGATCTGTCCATTGGACCTAAATGTCATTTTATTGTATAAATTAACATCATGAAAGAAAGTTTTTGCGATGTTTTCTTACCAAAAGGCTTTTGGGGCTTTAATTACTGCGTGCCGAACTTAACTGGGTACGAAAAAACGAACGCCATAATAAGAAATATAATGGTCGTGCGAACAGCTGATAAATATTATAAAAAAAAAAAATACGACGGTCGTGCAAATAGTCACTGAAAAATTATGTACACGACGGTCGTGCGAATAGCCGTTGAAAAAGTAAGTGCACGACGGTCGTGCATATAGACACTGCCAAGAAAGTCACTAATGATATGACAATGTACATATAATATACCGTTCACACTGTTGCACGGCTACTGTTATTACTTAAATGCTTATTTTCTTTTCACAGAGATATTGTTCTTGCTTCTCATATAAAGCCATTAGAGAAGGGTGACACTCTGCAAAATGTTACATTTGATGTCAAATGGAATGCTCATGCAGAAAACAGTAAAGCAAACCCACAAAGTTCCCACGCATCTGACATTAAAAAGGTATATTACTACTTCATGTATGGTAAAAGGGTAGAGCTTTTGTTCATTATATTTTTGCTTGTATTAGGGAACTATCTGATTTTTTTCCCAACAATAAAGGAATCAATCACAAATTAACAATCAAAATTAGCTCTGTGTAGAGATCTGTATCAGACTGGGTTTGAGGAAACAATTAAATTACTTTAAAAACTACTCATTTTCATTTGTATTCACTATTCAGGATTCTATTCCTTTTTATTTCAGCATTTTTGTTTATTTCAATACATGTACTACAGATTAGTCAAGTTCAGAATTACATTACATGACACATCATATATCATATCATCCCCCACCCCATCCCCCTCTACTGTTGGTACTTTAAAGAAAGGAACATGGACATAAAAAAAAGTTAACTATTAATTTTCTATTCCAGAGTTCCAATCTACCAAAAGACAGTCAGGAGTTTACACGAGATTGGAGGCGATACCACAAGTCAACATCTGATCAGTATAACTTCCTGTTAGAAATGGGCGGAGCTCAGTTGGCACATATTTTTAAAACAGACATTAATCTTCTAGGAGATTTTTTGATAGCACTTGATTCAGAATACAAAGATCAAGATGGTGAAAAAGTGACCGAGATTCTAGAAAGTTTGTGTTCAGCTAAGAGATTTGTCCTGTCTTTTCAGTTCCTAAGTGGAAAGAGAAGAAGGCTTGTGAATCATTGATATGTAAATTAGAAAAATCAAGTGAAGATTCTGCCTGGAAGAGAGAGAGATTCGGAAAATTAAAATCCTCTTATCATTTGAAATAAATATGTTCAATCCTTTTTTGTGTGTGTATTCACTTCATCATTTTTTTTTTCTCTTGTATCTTCATACTCATCAATGCTTCTTGTTGGTAACATTTAGGCCTCATACAATGAAGCCCATTGAAGTGGTAAAATTTTCTGTTTGGATGAAACGTTCTGAGTCATGTTTTGAACGTCAATTTGAACATAATGACACGCCCATTTCTTTGGAAACGAAAAAGAAATGTTCGTCAAAATGTTTAAGGAAACCTCGCTCTTCGTGACAAGCAACATGAGTTACACCGAAATGGAGATTTTTAAAGTTGTAACAGAGAGAGAGTTTGAGAGTTCCCACTTCTGTAAAACACTAGTTTCAACGAATTTGTCAATAATTATTAATTGATCATGTTTATTGGAGTTACCACAACACATGTATCGGTCGAACACGTGCTTACTCGGTGTTTATGTAGACCGTCACTTTGATTGGCTATTATATCTATGGAAACCTGTTCTACAGGTATTCGAATAACCCATTTGACCGATTTTTTTCCTTTCTAAAGAAATGGGCGTGTCATTGTATGACAATCATCGTTCTAAAGATAGCTCAAAACGTTCCAGTCAAACGGAAAATTTTACCACTTCAATGCGCTTCATTGTATTATAGTCATAAAGGACTTATATCTACAGTAAACAGGCACCTGATGTGACTTATTTTTCTTTTGAATAAAAAAATGTACCCCCTATCTATTGAATTAATAGGTAGGGGGCATATTCTTATTTAATAAAAGAAAAATACAGTAGATCACTTAATTTTTCGCGACACCTTATTTTCGCGAGATAGTCATTGACTCTTGATTAGCGAGACAAAATTTTCACGAATTCTGGTTATTGCTCTATATAATCTTAAGGAATACTATTATGCGCGAGAATTTAATTTTCGCGAGCATACTGTCTCACATAATTACGCGAAATTAAAGTTCTTGCGAAATCAATAAAAAGTGATTTACAGTAAGTAATGTCAGGTGCCTGTGCTACAGTATGACATCGACCATGGCCATCTCAATATTTAGTAAACCCCCAATCCAAAGGAGAGGAGGTTTAATATTTTACCCTTTTGCGATTGTCTGACG